TTTGAAAGACCTGACTGTTAAGGCATAACTTCCTCTCCCAGTTTGGGCCACTTAATTATTGAATCTATTTCCTTAGCAGCACAGGATTAGTCTTTAGAAGATTAAGAGAAAGTTACAGAGCCAAAGCTTGATGGAGGCAAACTGCACATTGTCTATTCCTTTGTTTTCAAAGTTCTTAGCTGGTGTGAAGCAATGTAACTTAGTCATCATCACTGATTTATACCGATTAAAAACCTGAGCCCGGTTTTCCCCATGCCTCATAAATGTGTATTATTGCAATGTAAATTATTTCTTCTATAGCTAAAAATGTATCTCGGAGAAGGAAAACACTATTCTTGTTTTAGGCTTTTGATAGGTCAGTCTTTTTCCCCTTTGAGCAAGGACAACCTGTTCATGCTTTTGGAATGTTCTTTTTTAGAATGTAGGTGGAGAACTGAACTGAAGAAAATCCTGCTTTTGCTGTCTAATGTGTGAACAATATACACCATCTTTACATTTTTGTGTCTTTAATAAATTAACGATGTCATAGTTTAACTCAGTTTAACCAGCCCAAGCACTGGAAAAATGCAATAATAAATAAATTTTAAAAGAGTGTATTTTCCATCTGTTATATCTGATTTAAAAAATATCCTTAGATCTAAAATTAAGATTTATGTTGTTCTTAACTATGAGATTAAGATAGATTCTCTTGTCTGTTTAAGCTTAAAGCACCTATCTGAGTCTTTTTGTAATGTGAAGATGGCATGTTGGCTCCCACCCCTTAAGGTGTGTGGCTGATTTATGTGACCTTTTTTGATATATGGCAAGGCATATAGTGGAGTACATACAATAGTAATCTGCTTTCCTCTAGTAAAAACTGCCTCCCAGATAGCAGTATAAAAATAGTAGGTTCGCCACAGACCTCCGGCACCACTACGTGCATAGAGGACAAATTATTAAATTATTAAAAAAGAAATAGGGCACATTGAGGCAACCTCTCCAGGAACACAACAATGATCTGACAATAGTCTATCTGTACTAATTATTTCTGATTGCAAAGATTAGAATACCCATTACTAGAAGGTGAATGTCACCAAAGTTGTGCTTAATATTTTTGAAAATATCTTGGAATCTAGTTACATTCTTGTTCCTACATGGTCTCTGCAATGGTACTGTATCAGTAGTTATTTCAACAGCTACTTCTGCTGAAGATTGAGAAGAATTTGGGGGAGAGAGGAGGAATTGTTTGTTACAGCCTTATTACTGACTTGTTAGTTTTTATTGCTTGTATTTCAGTGAAAATATCAAGTGTCAAAGTCTAAAGCTGTTACCTGGCTGAAGTTGGTTGTGTGTGGGGTGTGAGGATTTTTTCTGTTTGTGGGTTTTTTTGTTTGTTTGCTAGTTTCTTATGGAAGGTAAGAAAAGCAAAACTTTTTCAGCAGCTGACATTTACTGCTTGAGAAGATAAATTCAGATAATTAATTGAATCTTAGTTTTTGGAAATATAACCCCCCCCAATTTCTTTAATTTTCAACATTCCCTTCATAGATGTGGAATATCAGTGGCATTAATTTTTTTTGACGTTTGAATGAAAAAAAAAAAATCTCTTCAAACTTCCTGCTCATAAAAATTAGATTAATAAATGTTTATGGAAGAATAAAATAATTTCAAATATTTTGAAGCTAAACCAAGTTAAAAATGAAAACCAGCTGATCTTCTGGCATTTTACTCTTACTCCCTACCTGTAGGTAAATGTAGCGAGCTTAGGAAAACAATGTATTAGCAAATCTTGGCTACTATGAACTAGCTTTTGCTTATTGCTCAGTATCATTAATCTTTATTAACCCAGCTCACTCCACTGAGATTCAAACTTTTGTTTTTCTTTCTAAGTTTTGTATTTTTAATATAAAAAGGTTCAAAACAAACTACTTTTTAAATACTCTGGATAAAATTCAATTCATCATGGACATTTCTGATACTCTTCTAGAGAGATTTTTAACCCGGGCAAGAAAGTTCAGGATAGTTGTGTCATACGTTGTGTATCTTGTGCACACTGTAAAAATCTGTGGAGTTGTTGTAAGGTGACATTGTGCTTAGTATAACTTTATTCACTTCTCCTTCTGCTGCAATGAGTCTCCACCAAATCCTCCAATTAGTGCAAAGTTATAAAACTGTAGACAGATGGAAAATTAATATTTATAGCAAAATGCCCAGGGTTTTGATAACTGGAAACTCTTGGAGCAACAGATGATGTTAGCAGTTCAGATTTAGAGAAATCAGCCTGTTCAGAAAAACATGAAAGCTCATGTACTTTCTGAAGTAGTAGGTCATCTAGTGATGAACTTAAATGTCCGCGTTAGCATTTCTGTGAACTGGAACCACCCGTAATTAACTGCTTAAAATGAATTGCTTTGTGTTGGTAAAAAATAAAAATAAAAAAAAAAAAAAATAGAAATTATTTCCTCAAATGGTCACCAAAACTCAGTAGAAGTTTGCAAGATCCACCACCTCTCATCTCACAATTTCTAAGAGGTTAGCAAATGCCATGACCTTGACAGAGACCTGAGCAGTGCAGAAATCAAAAAAGCTTTCAATGAGAGGGAGAAGTGATTCACATTACTTAATGGCCCTTAAATACTGCTGGCCTGATGAGCCAAAGGTCAGGTGCGGTAGTATGATTTCATTAATACTGGTCTAAGTCCAGAGTAATTTTCCTAACTTCAGTAGTGTTGTTACTTTGGAAATATAATAATAATAAGCATTTTTCTGGTGATTGATACTTACATCTAAATCAAGGCATCTCAGAATAACAGCTTAGAAGGGATTGGTGCTTGATGTCAGAGGAAAGACCTGAACTGGAGCCCCTTCTTTGATGTCACTGTACATGTCTACTAAACTGGCAATTTAATGCTTTTTGGAAATATGGTTTGCTGGACAAATTTCATTTCTTCCTAAAATTCATAGCTTGAAGTTACCTTCGGGGTTTTCTGTTAGTGGCTTTAATACCTTTTTCTGGTCTGTAGCTGAAGTTTTTTAGTTTTAAAGTTCTGTTCTTTTCTCAAAAGGAAACTTGGTAGTAGACATGTTTGTGTGTGTGCATGTGAACACCTATAGCACAGTTAAATTTTAATAAAATAATATTCTGCAAAACAGGATGGGAATATTTTGTTGCTATATGCTGAAAGACAGGTCATTACCTGGTGAAGAACCTTAAGTTTCTCCTGCCCATCCATGTTTGTGATCAGCCCAAATTGCTGCAGAGCTGTGTTGTGAGCAGTGTTTCAGGAGCAACTTGCACGGTTCTCCACGCTGAAGTGACACTTTTGCTAATTTTCAGCATATAATAACAAAATAATCTTGTCTTGTTAAGTATGCTGTTGATTATGAATATCCTATGCCATTCTTGCTTCTTGTAATATTGTTGTCTTAAACTTGTGTTGCATTATGCTACTACTGTAATTATTAGAACAAAAAAGAAGGATTTTAGTGAGATTTATAATTTTCTGATAGGAATAAAACTCTCTGCCATCAAGGCAAAAGCTGCTCTTCTTTTTTTTTTTTTTCTTTCTTTTTTTTTTTTTTAATCAATATGCTTTTATTTCCCTGGCAAACTAGTGCTATTTCATGTATATATTGAAATTGTATCACTAGTGTTGCTTTTCAGCATCTTAGTCTTTGAAGCCAGATTGCTGCAAATATATAATGCAAACTAAGATTTGGCATTCCTATGCATTTGAAAGCTATGGGATGATAGTACAGATGATTTGTAAAATCTTGTAGCTGTTTAAAGTAGCAGACAGTTGCTTAACTATTTGCACAAAACCACCTGTGCACCTAATATCTATTACAAACGGTGAGATCCAGCCACAGCAGAGGTACTTGTGCTCCTGCACGCGTCGCTGCTTTTGGAAATTCCAGCCGTGCGCTTGCCTCTCTTCAGCAGCTTTGAGAGTCCCACCTGTGGTTCTCTCTTCAGAGCAGCAGCATTTCAGTGCTCTGTGTCACTGCCACAGCTGCTGCCTCTCCTCCTAGCTGTACAAGGAGGAGTGCAAGTGTACTTGCCTTGCAGTTTCAGGAGCAATATGTCAAGGTCACCAAGCAGAGGGGAAGAATGTTGTACTGATGTCTGCAGTTTAGAAAGGACGTTGAAGGTTGGAGTGCAGAAATGAGGGACAAAACCAATTTGATTTTTTTTTCTTTAGAGGTCGCAGCAGACACTGACTATAGGATGCAAATATTTGTGGGGAAAGGACAATGAGTAGTAAAGGACTCCTTAGCAGAAAACGCACAGGGACTAAACCGTTGTGGTATGGCTAACAGATACAAACTGGAAGTAAAGCACTTTAGTGTCTAACAACACACATACTGTTGTTAGTGTTTGGGGGATGGCAGGCCAGGTGATGGTTTCTTCATCTCTTTGATGTTTTCAGATAAGGTTTTCCAGAGGATTTGCTCTTATAAATAAATACTAATCTTTGGGCTTAATACAGTAATAACTGAATGAAATTTAATGTCCTGTGGTAAGTTTGGTTTGAGAAGATTGGAGGAATGGTGCAGCAATTCTGAGGAATGCAAAGACTTTTTTTGAGAGAAGAAAAGGAACAATTTCTTCTCTGGGTTCGTGGTGGAAAGCACAAGAATTGATGGGCTTCAGTGCAGCAAGTTGGACATAAAGAAAAATGTTCCACTTGTCAGAACAGTGAAATACTGGGGAAAAAATACCTGTGGAAATTGCAGTAGTAATTTAGATGTGGTTAACTTTTTCCTTGAGAGAGAGGGATGAACTGGATGACCTCTAAAGTTTCTCCCAGGCTTTTTTCTGAGAGCCTATAGTGGATCATGTAGCTGTCAATTTTATCTTCAACTTCCTAAATTTTATTCTGGTTATCTTTTACCCTTGCTCAGCCAAAGTCTCTGGACTTCATGTAATGCATCTGTTTAATACCCTTACATCCAAACACAAACGATATTCTACCTATAATTTCAAGAAAAAAAGTTACAACCTACCATCTTCTTTTTAGGTCCTCCAGGGAAAAGAGGTAAGCGGGGCAGAAGAGGAGAGACTGGTAAGTTTTCAATTTCATAAGATCCATTGTTATTTGATGTCTGTGTTTTTGTGAGGATGTGTACCCAGCATGCCTTCATTTTTACTTTTATTGCTTGTGTGCTCTGAAAGAGAGTTCTGAAACTTCTCTGGTAAAAATCTGTGACCCTTGGCATATACCTGGTGGCTTTCCAGATAGTTTTCTAGTCTTGGGCATCATTAATTTGTAGGCGCACTTCATAATGGTTGACACGGTACCGTTGGTAACACACTGGTAATTGTCAAACCATTTTGGTGTCTCCTCACACTTGTGGAAGTTAGAATAACTCCATGTAAGTCAGTAGTTGGAGTACTATAAGTCAGTGTTGCATCAGGCCACCTTGGTTTGAGGCAAACAATTTTATAAAGAAATAAAGAAGGAAATAAAATTCCTTATGTTAAGAATGTCGGTACTTAGGGAAATAATGTGATAAGTAGACTACTCTGTATGAGAGAAATTGTTGTTTACTAGAAATGAGCAGCAATTAAGTTCTTACAGAAATAAGAAAAACATTTGTTGGTTCATTACCCTGTACCAGGGAGGTTGCTGTTGAGAGAATCCCGCTGTTGGTGTGGAGCTTGAAATTTCATTTGAGGCAATGTTGTGAGGTGCTGAGCACCTCTTCCTGCTGACATTCATGGGAATTGGAACTGTTGGTTACCTTGCGGGATTGAGTTTTTCATAAAGGTGAACTTTCTGGAGGCAATGCAGGAGAAAATGAGCATTTCTATTCTCCTTGGCGCTCTCATCTAATCTGCCAGTTAGGAAAATCTTCCAATCGACTTGATCTCTGTAAATCTTCTGTAGCCTTTCTTATCTCTGCAAATGATCATTTATCTAGCTCTTAAAAACTATTTCCATATTTTCCTGCATCACAAAACTGAAGACAAGCCCTGCCAAAGATTAATAGAAATCTCCTTGGTGTTTCCATTCGGTGTTGGCGTAGTATTTACTTCAGAGAAAAATGCTATGATACAGAAGGAAATTCTGTGATTGAAGACTGTCTTACAAACGATCCTGGCAGTTACTTTGCAGGATGCTTATCGATTCATTTTACACCTCAAATAAACACATATTAAACTATTAATCAAGGAAATTGATCTCTCTCATTTAAAACCAGACCTGCACCTTAAAATGCTGTTTAAGAATGTTTACCAGGATAAAGAAATCACCTTAGTTACTGGACAATAAAATTGCATTGTTAAAACCAAAAGCCTGTCAATATTAAAAGCAATCTCAAAGTACAGCTGCTGTCGGTTTATACTTCTTTTGCACTTCGCTTTATTCAGAAATTAGAGAGAGGCATAAAAGCTTAATGAAATGCCATTGATTTGGGAGCTGCAGCTGCTCAACTTAATAAGACTGAAATAGTAGATTTGATTTGTGGCCCTTTGATAATGTTTCCAAGAACTGCTATACAAAAGTCTTTGAGTCTAAATAATTGAAAAAATGTGCAAATATCACTTCACAAAGTGTGACATTTTAATGGGGAGCATTTTATATGTGTGCCTTGAGAAAGAAAGGTGATGAAAAGAAAGTTCAGCACTGTCAGGTGGCCACTGAAACCTCCCCTCACAGGCAAAGTTGGAAGGCTGGAAGATGCTGGAACATGTATGGCTTGACAAGATGCCAAGGTTAAATGCCAAGGGTACTTTATGCAATTTTGCTGCCAAGCTGTGGTCCAATGCCAACTGCGTGGCTAACTGAAACTGGTGATGTGGTTACATACGCTTTATGTGGAGTCTGACAAAATGTATTGTAGTCCATGGCTGGTATTTTTGGACCTGCATGAAATTGCATGGAAATGGATGGAGAAGCAACTTGCATAAGATTGCATGACTGTAATTGAAGAATTGGTAAGGTAAGCGCATGCATTTAGGCATTAGTCATATTTACAGGTTGCAAAGCACAACCAAAGCTGAAAATTCCACTTGAATGGGAAAATGTGTACAGTGTATTAGCAGTTTTGCTCACTTACAATCCTGAGGCCTTGTGCTTGGCTTCGTACATATGTGTCTTTCTTTAATAACTTCATAAGCTTACATATTCTTTTTTTCTCTTTTTTTACCCTCTTTCCCTCTCCCCTGCCCCACAGGACCTCCTGTAAGTACAGTGATACATTGTTGGTTCTTCCAGAATCAGGGAAAAATCTGTTAGATCCTGTTAAGATATCACCATGATAAAATGATCACATATCATCAAAAGGGAATTTTGATATTTATACTTACACAGTGTAAACACTCACTAATTATCTTGGAGCTGAATAGTTTAATCAGAAGGTTCCTTAAGAAAAAAGTCTCTAAAAAAATAAAGATTTGTATTCAGCGCTTCAGATAGCAGTGTGGATCACAATTCCACGTAAGTATGTTATGTTCATGTTCATTGCTTATGACTTGATGACAGATATTTTACTACAGTATAAAAATGTGTGAGTATGCTATTAGTCACTCTGCCTTTCACTGGGTAGTAACTTCCTCTGCAGTTACCAGAAAGTCTTAGCGTACAGGCTTCTTATTCTTTGCAGGTATACAGGCTGTCCAGCTCATTGCAGTGTAATTGCTACTGAAGCCAGTAAATGCTTGTGTAAAATGAGTATTAAATAATACTATTTAGTTTAGTGAGTTGGTTGAATCTTGGGCTAACCCTGTTTGTAAGAAAACAGTTTGTCTCTTCTGGGGTTTTATGGTGGTTTTGGTTTTCGGTTGGGTTTTTTGTTTTTTTTTTTTGTTTGTTTTGTTTTGTTTTTTGTTTGCTTTGTTGTATATTCCCAGGATAGGTCAAAAGTCTGACTTGAAGAACAGGACTAAACACATATATCTCAAATATTCATATTTGTCATGCCATCCATGTGCACCATATGGTGTAGAAGTGTGGCCATTAGAACAGTATTTCTTTTACGGTGTTTGCAGACTTCTAACTATTTTTATTTAATTTGATAGATACAGTATTTCCACAATATTTTCAGGACCAGATTATCTGTCTATTCTATGCTACATGCATGTTTGAGAATAGTGAATTAATATGTTGAATTTCTGCTGTGACCTAATGATTTTACTGTAATCTGTATATATTGAGCAGTGATACTACTTATCCTTGAAAAGTTTTGACCATGTGCTCAGCAGTTCAGAGTGGCAAATTCATTTAACAAGCCATCAATGAAAAGCCAGACTTAATGCTGCCTATATGAAAGAAACACTGGCTTCCCCAATTTCTTTTTCAGTCTTCTCATGAAACACAAACGACCATAAATCACGATACAAGTGGTTTTCCTGTAGCAAGACAACGTGGCAAGAGTTCATGATGTGCCTCATTATGAATGTCTTTGACTTCACCTCCCCACTGTTTTAGTATAGGTCCATTTAAAACAAAACAAGAAAAGTCTCAATTGTGACAATATTAACACAAACGTGAAATAGCTCCCAAAACTGAATAATATTAAGAAGTATCTGACTTAAAATTCCAACTTTCATACTCAAAACTTACAAGACTTCATCTTGCTGACAGGCAGTAAGGGTTTAAGTTGTTACAAGGCCTTTAAAAATGTAATTTCTGTTCCTAATTCACTTTTTCACTTTGATAGACACTTGTGGTCTGGCTAGGGGCAACTGTTGTGAACATAGTTATTGTTTTCACCTGGGAGACTGTGGTGATCATTTTCATTTTAAATAGCAAATATTTGTATATCCCACATAGCACTGCATGGAATTATGTGTATATTGTATTTTCAAAGGCTACTGCAGTGCTCTGTTTATTTTCCTTGTACATGACTACTGAGTGTCACATGTAATAACAGCCAAAGGCTGGGGCTTTCAATTTTTTTTTATGATCTGTTATAGCATTCTCAAATTTCTTCTTTGCCACCTATGTTCTAGTGGTAGCCTATGTATCTAATACTTTATTGCCTAAGCACTAAACCTTTTTTTCTTTTAACCACATATTGCCCTTCAGTCTACATGCATAATTCTCTTCATAACAAAAGGAATTTCAGTGACCATCAGAAGTAGCCAGTAGCCTTTCAATTAGAGGGTTTATTTAAGTTAAAACATGTAATTTCCATTGCCAAAGCCTCATTTCTTCACTGTGTAGTACCTATTTCATATTTATTTGTTTGTAATATCACATATTAAAAAATCAATCAATATGCAAATTATAATTTGCCAGTAATGTACTCTGCATGTTTGTTGTCATGTGTCATGACTGTGTTGTTAATATGTGTCATACCATTTCATCTCATTCAACCAGGGTCTACCAGGGCGAAATGGCTATCCGGTAACTCATCATATATTTATGATAGTGTATATTACTCTAAAATCCTGTTGTATTCTGGTTTTTCTTTGTTACTGTCAAAAAGACCTTTTTTCTGTTTCTCAGATGCCTAGAAAATGTAGGACTTTCCTTTATAAACAAAACAAACTAAAAAGCCTTTGATAAGTTTTGCAAAAGAACCTGAGTGTTTACAATGCATAAATGCAATGCACTGGTTGTTTGACAGTGTGTATATTTTGTGTTGAGTTTCTGCATTCTTGCATACAAAATAAATTTTTTACTCTAATTTAAAAAAGAAAAATTCTTTAGCAAGATACTGCATCTCAATTTTCCATATTAGAAAGCTGTACAGCTGCCATTTGGAACCTCTAAGTCCTTTCTTTTAATTATGTCCTGTTTCTCTTGGCTGCTTCATTCAATGCATTTTGAGCAAAGTAAAATACTATTACAGAGGTCCTAGCAGTTGGCTGCATTGTCTATCACAGGGTAATTTTCTGATAATGGATGGAATTCATTTTTCTGTCAGTTTCATTCATATCTTTAGGATTTAATGCCTGAAAAAAATAATATATGAAATAATGCATCTTTCTAAAATCTATTAATAGTATATCTCTTTCAAGTAGTCAGACAAGCTGACTGCAGTGTCCCACTCAAGGAAAAAAGTATACACCTACTGTCATGTGTGTATTAGAAATCAAGTGACAAAATGTGTTAGTGGATGCATTTCAGAGACAATACATATGCACAACATAGTGACTGTTGAAGTATGATAATGATCTTATTTAAAGCACTTGATAGTATAGCTTGGAGGGCCCTCCCGTACTGATTTGCCTATGTATTTCAGACAAAAGATGCCTTTTTTTTTTCAGCGAGTTTTAGAAATGTTTCTGTTGGTAAATAGAAATTGCATGCCTTGAACACCTGCAGGTAGATGATAATTTCATAGAATCATAGCATCTCAGTATGCTTTGAGTTGGAAAGGACCTTTATAGATCATCTAGTCCAACCCCCTGCCATGGGCAGGAACACCTCTCATTAGACCAGGTTGCTCAAAGCCCCATCCAGCCTGACCTCGAACATCTCTAGGAATGGGGCACCCACAGCTTCTCTGGGAAACCTGTTCCAGTGTCTCACCGCCCTCATCATAAAAAATTTCTTCCTTATGTCCGATCTTAGCCTATCCTCTTTTATTTTAAAATTGTTGCCCCTTGGCATGTCACTACAGGCCTTGGTAAAAAAAAATAATCTCTTCACCTTTCTTCTAAGCCCACTTTATATATTGAAAGGCTGCAATAAGGTCTCCCCGGAGCCTTCTCTTCTCCAAGCTGAACAACCCCAACTCTCTCAGCCTGTCTTCAGAGGAGAGGTGTTCCATCTCTCTGACCATTTCTGTGGCCCTCCTCTGGACCTGCTCTGACAGGTCCATGTCTTTCTTATGCTGGGGGGGCCCAGAGCTGAACGCAGTACTCCAGCTGGGGTCTTACCAGAGCAGAGTAGAGGGGCAGAATCACCTCCCTCGACCTGCTGGCCACACTTCTTGTGATGCAGCCCATTTCAAACCTTTTCTCTGGGCATCTTCTGTAGTTGCAGAGTTTTCTGAGAAATGTTACCAATGAAACATCGTCCAGTGCCTGTCTTTACTATTACAAGTAGTTGCAAGTCAGCTGGTGAGGAATCGATCATCAGTATCAAGAAACCTGCTTGGATATACTGAAACCATTGTCAGGTTTCAGAGTACACATTCCAATTTCATTTAGAGTGCTTAATCTGTGTAGATGCGTGCACAAGTGTGTGGAGGAGAAGATGGAGTGAAAAGCTTGCTAAAAAACCCTTTTTTGGTCATCATCCAGCTGTGAGCTCTGTATACAAAGACTAGGATTTAAAAGGAAAAAGACCCACAGTGACAACAAACCAGCCCTTAGGCTCTTAGGTCATGGCTTCTGTGGAAATTAAGTATCTGTGGTGTTCGTCATTCCAGTTAATGAGCTTAACCCACAAGGTGAAGTTTATATTGTGCAAAGCACAAAAGCCTCGTACATTTAACTTCTTGGCCTAAAGTGTAAGTTGAGAAAATGAGTGAATGTGTTAGTGATGGACTCATGCGTGTTTTGAAGGCTTCACGGGGACAGTTTGAAAATATAATTTTCTTTAGAGCCTGAAGGCCCAGTCCTTTGTCTTGGTCCAGCTGCTTTCTTGAAGAGATTTGTCGTGGGATCTGAAGACAATAAAGGTTCTTGGAAGCCATGTTATTGAAATTGCTGAGTCTAATAGTGGCATTGTTATGGGCAAAGTTTAGTCTGAATGCATTTCTGTGCATGCGTGCAGCCATCCGTGCATGCACAGGCAAATGTGTGCCTTCAGTAGTGCTTAGCACTGATTGAACACTTCTTCCTGCTTGAAAATGACTGGGAATAGAATTTGGCTTTGGTTCTTGAAAGTCGTCACTTGGCTGGCTGTTTCAATCTTTTCAGTTACAGTCATATCCTCCTGCTTTGAATGGGAAATATGTAACAGCAAGTACAATGCACTTTAAAAGTACTTATACAGTCCTGTAGAGCTCTATGAAAAGGCTATTAGCGTTTAAAGTTATTTCTCTAGAGTCCTATTTAACTCCTGTAGAAACCTTATTGCTTTAATCTTTATTGGATTTTATAGAATATTCTGTGAGGATAGTGAGCTATATCTGCCACATATAACCTAAAAAGCTCTCTGCTCAATAGGTCAAATCATAATGCTGCAATCTCACAAAAGCTGGTGGCTGTTTTCTCCCAGACTTCTGTTTTCATTGTCTGTGTTCATTCTAATTTTAAAGGTACCTTAAGAAATAATAATAATAA